ATGCCGACCCCAGTTGAGGCTCTTTCCATGACACATTTCCCATCTTTACACTGATTTCCTCGTTACCAGCGTGAGATGGCTTTTTTCAGCCCTTTTCCTAAACCCATCCTATCTAGGCTCCATCCCCAGTTCAGGTCCCTGTTCTTTCCTCTCATCCCTGTGACACGTGGTTCTGTCCTCCATCCTGCCCCATCCACCTTTATCCACCCAGCATGGGATGTATATCTCGTCTCTGCGTTGAGCGGGTGCAGTTAACATTACCGTGTGAGCCGGGATCTGTAAGCAGGCTAAGTGAACATGTGAGCCTGCCTAGGAATTTGTGTGACGTCATCTCAGCCAAAGTCACAGTGACAGTCGCCTGGGGGCTGAGCAGGCAGGTCTGAAACCATGTGGTGGAATTAAGTCATTTGTACTAATTCACTGCTTGAGTAAACTGGCCCTGGAACAGTTCTGCAGGGTTTAAAAGCTTTGTAAAGCTTTCTCAGTCTTTATAGCTCCTGAATAAGAGAGAAATCTGGCACATAAATATTGCAAAGGTTTTGAGTAACTGCAGTATCCAGGCAATACTGATGATCATTTTTCATCTATCAGGTGGAAATCTGCATTGAGGAGAGTATTTCTGATGATAATTTTTTTTTGTATACCTAATCAAAAGGAGTATTATAAAGATGTTACTAAACACAGATAAACACTGGGATGATAGTTCTGTACAGTTTATGGCAGTGACCAATACAACTCAATCCAGACCAGTCGATTTCCTGTAGTACTCGATAGGGCACAAATACTTAGTAATAACTCAGTTACTACTGAAGTACAAATCCTGAACAAATATAGTTGCTACTTGAGATAAAAGAAGCATCACAATTCATTAATGATGAACAAACATTTAACTTGGGTTATTCATGACTTGTTCCTTCAGTAGTTCAGAATTGTTTACAGAGCTAAAAGATATAGTAAATATAGTAACTGCTTGACATAAAACATGTCATGATTCATTAATGATGAATTAATATGAGATCAGTATGTAATTAAGACTTATTTTGCGGTTAATACATGAGTAATAGTAAAATACTACGATTTGGCCCCGTCAAATAATGTGTTACCGTAACGTTTTTAGAAAACGGTTTGTGATCTGTTAACATTTTGTGACCTGTCAGGATTTAACTAATTGGCGGGACCACCATTAGGGGGCGCCATTGATAACGAGTAAAACCTGACTATGTTTATGAATGGAGTACAAATGCTTCTAGAGTAATAAGAATTTTATTTTGTCTATGTCCTATTCTTTAAAATGTTTTTAAGACTAGAACTTGTAGGCATATATGCTGTTCCGGTCAGATCAAAAAAAAATCCATTCCTGGTACCAACGGTTCTGTAGACATAGGAGTACGATCGTGTTTTCAGAATTTTGGTGTTGACTTGGTACCAAACTATCAGGTTTTGTGACATCCTTGATCCCAGGTTTGTGGTATAGTTCACAAAACATCTTCCATACAGTATCTTCCATACAGTATCTTCCATACAGTGTCTTCCATACAGTATCTTCCATACAGTATCCTTCCATACAGTGTCTTCCATACAGTATCTTCCATAACTTTATCCAACACAGCATCATGGTGAACTTGACAAGTGCACCAGGAAGCTGGTGAGATGCCAGCACGTCACACCCTCACACATGTTACAGGCAATTTAAAGACAGCAGGTCACTTAAAGCACCTGGCATGCTGAGGCCAAGGGGAGGCATTGAATCCTGAAAGCGTGAGGCCACAGTGCAGCCCGCTGAGCCAACGCGCTGCCCGTGAAGAGAAGAAACTGTGTGATATGAACAACAACAAAAAAAAAAAACTTAATGAACTGTCCATTCTCCTGGGCCTTTCCCATTGACAGTACAGAAGCAGTGGGGTAATTTTCCACTGCCTGATGTACACACTGCATGTCTGTGCCTGGTATTAAACCGCATAACCTGTGCAAAGTTCTAAGGGGCCCATGTTTGCAGAGAGGTGTATGTTTGACTGCAAACAGAGCGGGGTGTGAGGATTGCCCAGCAACGAAAGCAGACGTGCGGCGTCCTCGGGATCTCAGAGCTCAGCCACAAAGAGGCTCTTCATTCAGGGCTTTGAGGAAAACACGCGGCAGGACGCATGAGGGCTCGCAGTCAGGTGGCTGAGAAGGCCATTCATGACTCCGAGTATTTTTACACTCGCTGAGCGTTTTCTTAATGTTTACACAAACTCCAGCATCCGCAAACACTGCCGAGTGTGCAGTGGAAGCCTAAGTTCTTTTCTGTTATTTTTAACTGTTGATGTGTAGCCATCATTTAGATATTTTTGTTCTCATACAAAATATTTGGTGTGCTTGTGAAAGAAATACGGGAATATAGAGCACAAGTCCGCTTTCTCCATGTTGTTTATAAAAAGCAGTATGTTTGGATTCTGTGATTTGTCACTGTTGTGGCCCATGAAGTGTTTTCAGATAGCACTGCTTTAATTAAAATGTTGACACAGATCTTGCTAAGACTTGGTCCTGCTATTAGTGCCGCTGACATGTAGATGGGTACGGTTACGGGTATGAGTGCCACCGAATCGTAGATGGGTACGGTTACGGGTATGAGTGCCAGACATCTCGGAGATGGGTACGGTTACGGGTATGAGTGCCGCCGACTCGGAGATGGGTACGGTTACGGGTATGAGTGCCGCCGACTCGGAGATGGGTACGGTTACGGGTATGAGTGCCGCCGACTCGGAGATGGGTACGGTTACGGGTATGAGTGCCACCGAATCGTAGATGGGTACGGTTACGGGTATGAGTGCCGCCGAATCGTAGATGGGTACAGTTACGAGTATGAGTGCCCCCGACTCGGAGATGGGTACGGTTACATCTACAGGAACCTTTATGATATCCCATTCTAAATCCCAAATGTTTGTAAACCTGATTGCATGGCTAGGTGCTTGATTTTATACACCTGTCAATGGGTTTAAATGAAACACCTGAAGCAGTGTTGTCTGGTACTTTTGTCCATATAGTGTACCTCCACCGGTGAGAACTTAATTTATACACCTTCTGTGCTCCATCTATCCATCCATCCCTCCCTCCATCCATTCAATTCACTCAAAAGTTCTTACCCAGTACCAAATCCTTCTGCTTCTTCCTGTGTCCTGTCTTTTCTTTTAATATCACATTTCTGAGGCACCAACCCCCTCGCCGACTCCCTGATGTATGTTTTCCATAAACACATGCTGCTATATATTCCAGCAAGTGTGAGCTGTCCTGGGGTTATCCACTGGCCTCAGGGAAGGGCAGGTGGCGGAACTGACCTCCACACAGGGGCAGGAGCGATGAGCCAACCTGGAAAGCAGCTAAAGGCAGAGAGACAGGGTGTTTATCAGTTGGTGTGCCGTTCTTCCTGTGCCTTTAAACACTTTGTGTTTGCAAGTCTGGGCCCACAGGCTAACAGTTAGTGCTCAGCCTTTATTCAGCTCTTAAACAGGAAAAAAACACTGTAAAGCTTTAAATTCCACATGTCACATCCCATCCTCTGTGAATGCCCCGGAGCCCAGATTCACAGCCAGCCGAATGACAGTGTAGGGAAGCTCACTGCGGCACAGTGCTCACAGAGGACCCACATCGTGCACGCAGGGGAAACGCTGCTGATCCCCAGCAGAGAGCGATCGCGATCAGAGACTGAACTGGGGGGAGCTCGCTATCTCTGCTGTGTGCATCTGCTGCTCCTTTGCCGGTGAATCTGAGGCATCGTCTCGGTGTCCCTGTCTTTGCGCTCAGGCATCGTCAGTCGATAGATGAACATTTGTAAGGTGACGGCCAGTTTCGCCAGTGGCTGGTACAGGCTGGGATTTCTGGAACAGTCTGATACAGTGAAGTTTACAATGACCACAGGGAAGGAAGTGAGATCCCGACCGTAGGAAGCCATCAAATGAAAAATGCTTACCTGAATACTTGGATAATGGCATTTGGATATGAATTCCTAAAAATGATGTGGATTGCAGTTATACGATTGGCTGCTCTTAGTGTCTAAGCTCTACCCCTATGTTAGCATTAGACGCTAAACCAGGGATACTCAAATGGCAAACTCCACAATTCGATATGGACCGCGCGATTAATCCGTTTCCACTGTGCCCAGCAAATTTTATCATAGAGGATCCCCCCTATCAGTCAGTGAAATCTACTCTAGTAACTGAGTACCCCAGCGCCAAACCAAAGATATTTAGTCACTAAGTGCAGCTTGCTGACTATGGTAGTAGTCTGGTCCTGACCAGCAGGTGCCAATGATTCCCCGGAGGACGTGGGCCTCTCATAGGCTTCTCAGGTAACTGCTTATGTTGCTATTTGCAAGCAGTTAAAGCTGAGTGCCTGCTGTCCCTGGCGTAAGCTCTCCAGCACTGTGTGACCTGCAGTGTGTGAAATGTGTGTGCAGTGTGTGCTAACAGGCATCTGGCTGGATATGAGCATGCAGCTACGCTTTTTTACGGCATTGAGGTGAAAATAAAGATCAGTGTTCTCCTTATGTGGTCATGTACCTGCTTTGTGAGCATTCAGATTTGTGGACGGAACACATTAAGACAAATGCGTCATTGACAAATTGACTGTGAGGAGGCTAATTTAGTGTTCAGTTCAGCCTTCTTAGCTGGCCCACAAAAAAAGCGGTGAGCATTCGCCCTCTAGTGGCTGATTAGTGAAGTCCACGGTCGAGCTAACTGGTCCACCTGTTCACTTTCTGGGGTGGATGGCACAGGCTGGGAGTGGAGTGATGAGCAGGTTGTTGTTAGACTCTTTATTTAGGATGCTTCTGTGTGATGTTCCAGTTGATCCCATGGAGATGCTGCCTCCTTGCTGTCTTCATAATGATGTAATCAGCTTTCCATGTCTGTAAGTGATGATACTGTTCTCCTGCTGGAACAGCTGGAAACCAGAGTTCTGTTTGAGGAGCTTCCTAAATGCCGCTTGATGAGAAGTCTTCAGTCGGTTGGTTCCTCCTCCCGCAGGAATGAAGCGTCCCTCCAGCTCCCTCCGGTTGGCAGAGAGGGGGCAGTCTCCGGACGGCGAGCTGGGCTGCTCCCTGGGGGGCCAGGACGGCGTGTCGGAGCACAGGCCCAGGCGGGAGAAGAAGCCCAAGACCTACACCTTGTGCGAGGTGTGCAACATCCAGCTGAACTCGCCCGCCCAGGCGCAGATCCACTTCAATGGCAAGTCGCACCAGAAGAGGCTCAAGCAGATTGGCAACAGAAAGCAGAGCAGCAGGACAGGTAAGGGACCTCCTGTACCATCATAGATCCATCTCCACATGGATGATCTGGTATACTGTTATGGTACCATTTCAGATGGGATGTATTCTGATGTTATAATATCTAAGCAATTGCCCCAACCGACCATGAGGAAAAGTGGACCATTCATCCTGCACTGGTGTCACACAGAAGCCTGCACTGACCTTACCCCAGCCACATGCGTTGTGATCGGGCATTTTAAGTTGCTGCCCCAAGGCTGTGGAGTGACCTTCCTCCATCATTGCTTTTTGCAGATTCTGGTTTTAAAGGGCAGCTGAAAACTTACCTTTTTTTCTCAGGCTTTGGGGAAAACATGATCTTGTGAGAGCATGTTTTGTTATGTATTATTGTCTGTTTTTCACTTGAGTATTTTTACATTGTTGTTTGGTTTTTGGTTTTGTTTTTCTGCATTTTAGTTTTGTACAGCGCCTTTTTGGCTGACTGTCTTGACTATTTTGTCCGTGAAAGGTACTCAATAAATCAACTTTACTTACTTACTTAGAAGGTCTCCATCACACTGCTGTGACCTTGGTCCCCAGGACCCTTGCAGCTATGTTTGTTTGACCTTTTCAGCTGACAAAGTGAAATGATTGAGCCGATGTGAGCGAGCCATGGTCGTCCTGCAGGCAGGCCGAGTTGTGTTGGAGAAAGGGCAGAGGGAATTGCATCACTAGCATCACCTGGAACATGATGCTGAACACTGATGGGACACTGCCTACAGCAGACCGCAGAATCAGTAAAGACGATTGCCTCTTTTCTCAGTCGTTTGGATTTCCTCTTCTATCAGCCAACAAATTAACCTTCTCGTGGTTTCGTTTGGCTCTTTCTTTTTATACATTTTAATGTCGTCCTTCCCACATTCAGTCATTTGCTCTTTCCGCCTCTGTCACCATCCATCCCATTCTTTTTTTTTATCTTTCCTTCCATTTGGAGGGATTTTGTATCGCCGCGCTTTTCGCTGCGGCGTGAGGGAAATCGCTGAGTGAGGCAATCTCCGCTCCGCTTTAAAAACCAATCATGGCGCTCAAGAGAAGCTAAACAAATAATCGATGCTCAGCTGAGTGAGCCTTCGGGGTCAGTTCTATGTGTGTGGGTGGGTAACAGTCTGAGGCTGTGCCCCCCCCTCCCCCCCATTGACTTCACACCGCCTCTGCCTCTGCCTCCGCCTCCGCTCAATCACAAAAGGGGCCGTACCTCCTAGGGAGAATCTGAGTGTCGGAGGTTGTTCTGGCTGGAAACAGCCGCTAGGAAAGGATGGCTATTCTGGTGGAGCTTGGGTCCACAAACCGGCATTTTTTTATAGGATGGCCACCAGCATACAGCTTCATGGGCCACCTTGCAGGTTTCTGATGGCTAGATTGGAAAGTCCTTAAGAACAGTGTGAATGACGAGCCAATGGCAGCCATAAATAACAGGACCGTGTGACAAGAGAGACTGAGGAAAAAAAAGAGGAAGGGCATCAATCCAAGGAGATGACTGTGAAAGTGGCAGGCCTGGTGAAGACCTCAGGGAACCCGGAATGAAAAGGGCCATTTGAATCACGCAGAGTGAGTTATAAATCCCTTAGCATCTCGAGTGACCTCGCGCCAGCGGCTTGACTGAGACAGCCTTTTAACCCCTACAACACTGTCACACAGAGGGACCACCTATTCTTCAAAGGAACACTGCACTGGGAGGGGTGCAGAACCAGTGAGTGTGAATGGAGAGATCTCCACGCCACAAAGACAGAGCATATACTGTATAGATACAGCCGGAGAGAGATGTCTCCATTTCGCTTCTGCTTGTCTTTGCATGGGTGCTCAGATCTACAGCCCCTTGTATCGGCGAGCAGTAGGGGGGCTCTGCCCTTTGGGCTTTTCGTGAGCTTGCTGATGGCATGACAGGTTCTTCTGGGCTCCCTGGAGAGGCGGTGAGATGCATCCTAGCGGGAGATCATACTCACCATTAAGGTATGAATGGCAGACATGTCCAACGATGTTGTTCCACGGGGCGATACGGTTTGGCTGGGAGATTAACACGGGTGCGTGTTGTACACGTTCTGCCGGGTCATACTGGTGAATGTCACCAGCAACAAGGTACATTGGGCAAGGGTGCCAAAAAGGGGGGAGGTTCGGATTATTTCAGGGACCCTAAAAATTTGGAACCTAACTAGACTGGGTTGATTTGTTTGTTTGTTTGTGTATATTTATTATGTATTTACATCGTATTTATGCACATCTTCACTGCTGATACTTGGTAGTACATATTGTCACTTAAGTGTCAAGTTAAGAGGAGACAATCAAGTGAGAATTTCATAGTATTTTAGTACATCCTGTACTTAATACATATGACAATAAATCCTGAATCTTTGTTCGGGTTGGGGGCCCAATATGATATGCTGTCATAGGGCCCAAACCCTCTATCAGCGCCCCTGCATTACAGCATTCAGTAGGAGCTCCTCCCATGGCCGTCTCTCATGACAGGAAGGTGAAGGAAGGGTAGCCTGGCGACACGATTCAGGCAGGAGGCAAAGATTTGCCCTGACACCAGTCGCAGGCTGTTATCTCTCCCTGCCGTCTGCTGGCTGCCGCAGGCGGGCCGTGAATTCTCACCTGCGCCACGTCAGCGGCGCTGCCACGCGGACGGACGGCAGCTCCCGCGAGGCCCCGCGTCTCTTTGCCAGGAGGCCTGCGGGCGAGGGCCTTGTTTCCGTGTGCCTGAATTTTGCTGTCGCTGCACCAACAAGGTTAATTGCGTCGTGACCTGGTAGCGGGGTCATGACGACGCATGTGCACGAAGCAGACCTTCAAATCACATGACGGGTTTGCATCTGTGACGTGTTTTCTGGCTGTACTTGGTGAAGCGGGACACCCCCCGTGTGTTTCCTTAGGTAATTGCCGCTCCCTTGTGCCTTGGTCTGCCTCAGACACTGGCCACTTCATAGAGCTGATGTGACACGCGGGACCTGCAGCTTGTGCTTGCTCATGCAGAGCCAGGGAATCTGCCATCTCGCTATAAGTAGTGGAAAATCGTCGTCTTTATCCAGCTCTCTGTGACCTGATTTCACTGGGAGGCCAGGTTCTGCCCCAACTGCAAGAGCGTTCACATACTGGGCAGCGGGGGGGGAGGGGGGGGTGCGCTGCATTGTGCGGCAGGACCTCGAAGGAGCGGCGATCTTGGGTTCATGTTACCAGAATAACCGTGGCGGTGAGAGCCATGCATGCGCTCCTGAGCTGGCTCCCTGTCCTCTCTTTTGCGTCCTTCTCAGACGCATGCATGCTCACTTTATAATCACCCATTGCGGAGTTGCGGAGCTGCAGAGCTGTGCATGCATTGCCATGGAGGAGCCGTTATGTTGACACTGGGCCGTCAGGCTCCCTCCAGTGAGCCTCGAGATTCGGAGCTTAAGATAAATGCAGCACAAACATCAGCAGAAATGTCCTTCCTCGCAGCACAGGTGCTAAAAGCAGCCGTTTGTACAGGGGAAGCATTACCCCAGAACACACACAAGCAACTGCACTTAGAGCTCATGAAAAAATGCCTCCATCAGGGATCAGAACGTAAATCCCCTCTAATTAGGCTCAGTAACACTTGGGTGGAGGACGGCTGGGTTTGTCCAGATTTTCTCTTAAGCCGTTAAATGGGTATTTTGTTTCACCCAAAATTCCAGCGGTAAGACCGCAGGATCCATGACTCGTTGGTTTGATTTTAGACATATACAGCTGATACTGTGATCTTGTGTTTATTAAATTCTGTTTGATAGAATTGCCCTCTCTCAAATGTTTGCACATGTTCAAAACAGCGAACAAATGTCCCATTTATTGCTTTTTTTTCCCTTTTCCCCAGATTATAAATGTGCCAGTCAGATCTCGCAGGCTATTTGCCTGTTGTATACTTTCCTTCATCTTCCCTTCACCTTTTAATAAAATGCAAAAGTGCATCAAAAGAAGTAATTTTCCACATCAGTACTTTTGTTGATGCCCTATTTCTGTTCCTCTCTCCAGTGGTGTAGATTTAAGGGTTTCTGAATTATTATAAATTTTGAATTGCTGTGTGATTGATTCCTGCTCTGCACCATTGACAAAAGACGTGTTAATGTCTATGCTTCTAGTAAGAATCTTTTTCTCGGTGCGAGTTTTTTCTTCTTCCAATGTCTTGAAATCTGTTTGAAGGCAAAGTTTTGCGGTACTTTAAAAGGCAGCTGAAATCTGCACCTTATATAAGCAGAATGCCTCATCGGGACTGGAAAGCTTTGTGCAAGGATTGATTGGTATTTGGGGGTAAGCAGAGGCCCGGCCACAGGTCAGGGAGGGCAGACAATGGCCTGGGGCCCCCAGTTGGGAGGGGGCTCCCAAGGGCAGGCGATTGTATAGTACGTTGCAGCAACAACTCTGCTTTATTTGTGTATTCTATTTTTCACAAAAGTGAAAATAAAGGACTTATGTTTAATAAATTCTGTTTGTTGATATAAATTTACAGTTCACCATAAAATAAAGCTAATAGATTTTACCATGCCCAGAGGAGAGGGGCCCCCATGCAGTTTTTCCCTAGAGCCCCCAGAGTCCTAAGAATTGCCTCTGGGGGTAAGAAACTACTTCCTGCCTTGTGTGCTCCTGATGCTCTTTGGAAAAGGTGATATTTGGAGATCCTTATTTCAAGGACCCTTTTTTCTCCCAAGCCCGTCCTGTGCATGGCTTCATTTTTGCAGGTTGGGAAACATGTCCTAGGCTTGAGTAGGACTGTCCTGGATTTACACTGAATACCTAATGTATCACCTGAGGGCTGCCGTCCCACCCAGCTCAGCTTTGCTGCAATACAGTAATTGTCTGTTTAGGTAGGGGGCCTTCTCTGACGCACGCTAGCCCTTCCTGTAATGGGTTTCCTCAAACCTGCTGCTCTTCCACCCTCTCACCTGCTGGCCGTACTCACTGCGCTGGACCTGCATTTTCTTTTGACGCACATGGTTCCTGGCAGGGAAGCTGCTCAGTTAAATGCCCCAAACC